ACTCTGTGCTGAACTGAGCTCTGCTGCGGATGGCCATTCTCTGTAGACCCAATTATGAGTGATTGATACAACTAATTCCCTAAATTCCTGAGAGCAGAGTCACTTTTCTTTCAGTCCCTTTCTTTTTTTTTTTTTTTTGTCATCTCAAAATAAGCTTGCACAATATGCTGAGGGGAGCCTGCTGGAGCCCTGAGGGAGCTTTTGCAAGAACGTGGGGAAAAAAAGAGGGTGTATCACCTTTGGAAAAAGGGGCAGATAACTCAGGAAGTGTTAGTGTTTAAGGATGTCATTAGGTCATGCAGAAGGGAAATTAGAGAGACAAAAGCTCAATTAAAACTTTATCTGGCCTCTTCTGTAGAGGATAATAAAAAGTGTTTTTATAAATACATTAATAACAAAAGGAGGGCCAAGGAAAACCTCCATTCTTTATTGGACACAGGGGAAATATAGTTACCAAAGATGAGGAAAAGGCTGAGGTAATTAACACCTTCTTTGTCTCAGTCTTCAACAGTAAGACCGGTTATCCTCAGAACAACCAGCCCACTGAACTGGTAGACAGGGATGGGGAGCAGAATAGACCCCCTGCAATCCAGGAGGAAGCAGTTAGAGACCTGCTGGGCCACTTAGATGCTCACAAGTCTATGGGACAAGATGGGATCCATCCTAGGGTGATGAGGGAGCTTGCAGAAGAGCTCACCAAGCCACTCTTCATAATTTATCATCAGTCCTGGCTGACCAGGGAGGTCCCAGATGACTGGAAGCTGGCCAATGTGATGCCCATCCATAAGAGGGGCCAGAAGGAGGATCCAAGAAACTACAGGCCTGTCAGCCTGACCTCAGTGCTGGGTGAGGTTATGGAGCAGATCATTCTGAGTGTGATCACATAGCACCTACAGGACAACCAAGGGAACAGGCCCAGCCAGTGTGGATTTAGGAAGGGCAGGTCCTGCTTCACCAACTTGATCTCCTTTTATGACCAGGTGGATGAAGGTAAGGCTGTGGATGTTGTCTACCTGGACTTCAGCAAAGCCGTTTCCCATATCATACTCCTGGAAAAGCTGTCAGCCCTCGACTTGGACAGGGGTACTCTTCGCTGGATTAAGAACTGGCTGGACAGCCAGGCCCAGAGAGTGGTGGTGAATGGTGCCACATCCAGTTGGCAGCCAGTCACTAGCAGTGCCCCCTAAGGGATCAGTGTTGGGCCCAGTACAGTTTAATATCTTTATTGATGATCTGGATGAGGGGATCAAATCTACCATTAGCAAATTTGTGGATGACACCAAGTTGGAAGAGGGTGTCAATCTGCTGGAGGGTAGGAAGGCCCTGCAGAGGGACCTGGATAGATGGGCTGAGACCAAGAGCATGAGGTTTAAGAAGACCAAGTGCCATGTCCTACACTTCAGCCACAATAGTTCCATGCAGTGCTACAGGCTGGGGGCAGAATGGCTGGGAAGTGGCTCAGCGGAAAAGGACCTGGGGGTGCTGTTTGACAGCTGGCTGAACATGAGCCAGCATGTGTTCATGTGGTCAAGAAGGCCAATGGCCTTCTGGCTTTTATCAGAGATAGTGTGGTCAGCAGAACCAGGGAAGTGATTGTCCCTCTGTACTCGGCACTGGTGATGCCACGCTTTGAGTGCTGTGTCCAGTTTTGGGCCCCTCACTACAAAAAAGGCATTGAGGTGCTAGAGTGGGTCCGGAGAAGTGCAGCAAGGCTGGTGAAGGGTCTGGAGCACAAGTCCTATGAGGAGCAGCTGAGGGAGCTGGGGGTGTTTGATCTGGAGAAAAGGAGGATCAGAGGGAACCTTATCATTCTCTACAACTCCCTGAAAGGAGATTGTAGCCAGATGGGCATCAGCCTCTTCTCCCAGGCAACTAGCAACCAGAAGAGAGGACATAGCCTCAAGCTGTGCCAGGGGATGTTTAGGTTGGATATTATAATGAAATTATTCACAGTAAGGGTGATAGGTATTGGAATGGGCTGTCCAGGGAGGTGATGGAGTCAGCATCCTTGGAAGTGTTTAAGGAAAGACTGGATATGACACTCAGTGCCATGGTCTAGTTGACATGGTGGTGTTCGGTTATAGGGTGGACTCGATGATCTCAGAGGTCTTTTCCAACCTAATTGATTCTGTGAAACCATGGAAAATCTTAATAACCTAGTGATAGCAGCAAATGGAGGGATGCTTAATAATGAAATAATAGTGCAGATGTTTATAGCATTAAACATTATCAGTTTGCTGGAATATGGGAACACTCCCTGTTTGCTGTGAGTTTTCCAGGCATTTAGAAAGGGATGTGTTTGCTCCAAGGAGCTTGTAAAACACAATGTTTTTAACTCAAACGAGAATCCCAAAGCATTGAGTGATGTGGCTGTGAATTTCCTGGGATCTGGGTTTTTTGTAAGAGTTGGCAGCAGACAGAGTGGGAGTTGGATAGTGGGTCACTGCCATGACTCCAGGTTGCACAGGAGGAACACAATGGGGTGTTTTGAGGCAAAATCCATCTATCTGCTTCATTTGCCCAGATCCATACTCATTGCCACTAAAAAAGCCTTTTGGGGAAAAAAATGTCCATCACTGTAGGAAGCATCTCTGCATAATTTTTTTCCTCCTCTCCTGCCTCTGCTGCCCAAATGATGCTACTGGCTTTTCCCAGTGGATGCCAGAATCACGGAGGCAGGGAAGCTCTGCTGGGGTCCAAACAACCATGAAAAGCATCTTTGGTAGCAGGGAGGCCTGAGCCTACTTATCCAAGCTCAACCCTTATATTCTCATGTCTTTTTGACTAGACATCCAGTCAACAGCCGAAGTCCACAAATGAAAGAGGCTCTGGCGTATTTATACTGTGTGCTGGTATTGTCTCCTAAAAAAAATATCCTGGATTACCTAAGATTCATCCTTGAGGTCTGGTCACCCCATATAATTGAAAAACCTAGTGGAATTCATTCAGCCCTCCATAAAGGTCTGTTCATTCATTGCCAAGGCAGTTGTTTTTTTGTGGTTTGGGGTTTTGTTTTTTTTTTTTTTTTTAATGTTCTGACAATTAAATAACTCTTTGTAAGCAGCAATGAGCTACTTGTTAAGTGGTCTTCACTAATGCAAGCACAAATATCAAGTGAAAAAGGCTTCCCCCCCTGCTGCCTCCTGAAAGGGATGCTTTTATGTCCAAATAAATAAAAACCTATAAGAATTTCAGTATGTTCAATGTGTAGCAGGGAGGTGGAGGGAGGGAAGTGATGGCTGGTTGAGATGAGGATGTATAAAGGAGCATTCTCCCCCTGTATTCAGTAGTATCCCCTCTATGGACTGAGGGGCATCCCCCCAAATTCCTCTATCTCCTGAGCATTACCCTCCTTAATGGGTGGAGGAAACACTATGCTGGGCATGTTTCTTGACCAACTGGGGGCACCCCATTTGGGTTAGGAGAGAGGTAACTCAAACCACCCACCTTATTCCCCTTCATTCCCTTGAGTGGTGCTAGATTTCAGCAGGATATAAAATTATTGGCAACAAAGTCTTGGGAGGCACTGAAAAGGGGAGATGGAAGGACAAACTGGGGTGCACCTTGATGAATGCTGTCCCAGGGACCACCTTCCCACTGCCAGAACTCCCATCCCCACTTTCACCCTGGAGGGAGGGTCCCTATTATGGGGCATACACAACCAGGCCCATTTTTAGTAGCTGCCTCCAGCAACTGGAGAAATATTTCCCCCACTGGGATAGAAATGAGGAAATTAAAAGTGTGTGGCTGAGTTTTGTTTTTGTTCTCTTAAAAGCACAGTGCAGGGCTTGAAACACAACTCAGAGACAGAAGAAAAATGCCTGCACTGGGGAAATGGGCTTTTTAATACCAAAAAATAAAGAAAATGGGGCAGCCAACATGTTCCTGCCATTGCTTATGTTGGGCAAAGGGGTTTGGGGGTCCACAAAAAGAGCTTTGGGGTGCTGGGTTACCCACTATTTCCATTACCATATCTGCTCCCATGCTGCAGGGGATTATTTTGGTAGCACTCACTAGCATACCAAGCTTCCAAGCTTGATTTTTTTTTTTAAATGCAATTACAGAGACGAATAGTTCCCAGGTCTTAACATGACTACCAAGGCTGGAACAAATTACCTGCTGAGCAGTGCCAGGCTTTTAGGGATCCTTCATGAGGAAAAGGGGCTTTTCACATTCCCCCCCCCCACTTGGATTTTTCCTGCTACATTGTATCCCTGCTTCTTGCACAGGATAGCTATGCGCAAGGAAGTAAAAAAAAAAAAAGCTACATGAATGAATTTCGGGGGGCGTTAGGCCATTTTTGTTAAGAAGTATGAGATTTTTGGTCCCCACCATCTCTCAGTGTTTCCCACAAGTTGGGGTGTCATCCAATGTCTCCATCCTCTCCACCACCCAGGCTCTGACTGCAGGTAGGGAAAAGCCCTGTGAACTAGAGTAGGTGAGTCCTTGCCCCCTCTGGTCCCATGGGGTGACCTTCAATGTGGTTTTCTTAGCAGCACCTCATTTCCTCATTTTTTCTCAGCATCTGTGTCAAGTAGATAGTTATTTATGGAAGTGGATCCACTATCTGGTGAGTGAAAATAAGGACATTTAGGGTGTTTGGTCTTGGTAAATGCGGCTGGCTAGAGCATCTCATCTCTCCTAGTGCCACTGAAGGTGGTCCTGGTGATGGTTTGAGTGAGGGTGACTGCACCATGGATGCTGCTGGTAGGTCTCAAGCCACTTTTGAAGGTAGACATGGTGATTTAAGACTCATAATTCTAACTAGAATTAGGTGCTGAAATGGCACAGGAATTCCCCAAATCTGGGTCAACTTAAATGGTCCTAATAACATTGCTTTTGGAAATGGTGGATGTGCCATGGGTGTTGGTGTGTACGTGGAGAGCGTCGTGAACACATTGGTAGGCAATGACCTGCCAGCATTGTGTCACTTTTGGGTTGTATTACCCCTTTTGGTGCTAAATTTCTGTTTTTCTTCCTTTTTTTCTCCTGTTCTGTAGATTCCCAAGTTCTTCAGGAGCCAGGGGATCGGTCACATTGGTGTGTGGTGGCATACTGGGAAGAGAAGACACGCGTGGGTCGGCTGTACTCTGTTCAAGAGCCCTCCCTGGATATCTTCTATGATCTACCTCAGGGGAATGGTTTCTGCCTCGGACAGCTCAACTCAGAAAACAAAAGCCAACTGGTGCAGAAGGTCCGCGGCAAGATCGGCTACGGCATCCAGCTCACCAGGGAAGTGGATGGAGTGTGGGTGTACAACCGCAGCAGTTACCCCATCTTCATCAAGTCAGCCACACTGGACAACCCCGACTCCAGGATGTTACTGGTTCACAAAGTGTTTCCAGGTTTTTCCATCAAGGCTTTTGACTATGAGAAGGCGTACAGCTTGCAGAGACCAAATGACCATGAGTTCATGCAGCAGCCATGGACAGGATTTACTGTTCAGATCAGCTTTGTGAAAGGCTGGGGCCAATGCTACACTAGACAGTTCATCAGCAGTTGCCCATGCTGGTTGGAGGTTATTTTAAATAACCGATAATTCAAGACAGAGTGGACTCAAGGCATTTATATTACTTTGCTGCTAATATTTCCTTCTGAGTGCTTTCTATTCATGCAAACTTTCTGGTTTTGTTTTGTTTAGTTTGTATGCTCCCCCCTTTGTTTTGAGAAAAATCTTTGGAAATATTTTTTTTGTGCTTTGGGGTAGTTTGATAAACCTAGTTTTTTAAAGTATAAATGACCAATAACTCAGAAGGGTGAGAAAAGGGTGTGGCTCACATATGATAATTATTTCATGCCTCTGAAAGGATTATCCTATGTGATCAATGGATTCAGAAGCCACTTGCTATATGTTACAGTTCCTTCTCTTGGATAAAAGAACAAGATACTTGTATTTTTTATGCACCACCTTCCCATCCCTGGTGATGGTGACACCAAGACCTCTTCCCCAGCAGTGCTAACCCCACATTGTTGCCAAAGAATGGTGCAAAATCTTCCCAACCAGGTCTTTACCCATCCTTTTTAATTTTTATTTTTTCTTGTTGCTGAGTTGGCACCTTGTCACTGTGTTTATTCTTCCACTGTTTGTTTTTTTTTTATTTTGTATGGTCACGAATTGATGCAAGGGGAGAAAATAATAGCAGAGAAACCTCTTGCATGGACCGCACTTTATCATTTGAGCTGATATAAAGCAACAGAAGCCTAAGCCTAAAAAAACCAAAACAAAGCAAAACCAACAAAACAAATAAAAAACAAATGGGAAGAAAAAAGAAAAAGTGTTGACAATAGTTGGTCTGTTGTAACTTCTTAGATCAGGTTATCCCAGTAACATTCAATTTGAAAATGCAGTTGTGCTTTCATTTCTTCTTGAAATCATACACTAGTATGATACTTTTGCACTCTTCTTAGCTCAATGAGCATGTTTAGACCTTAACATAAGCTATTTTTCTATATATAAAGGTTTAAATGAACAAGAGAGCATTCTCATTGGAACTTTAGCACTGTAGTGCTTTGGAAATACACACAAAAAAAGGACTCCTTAAGACCCCCTGAGATTTATTAAAGAAAAAATGCATTTTATGTTATATATAAATATATTATTACTTGCAAATATAAAGATGTTTTATAAGCACCATTATTTATGTATTGTGCAATGTGTATAAATGAGAAAAAAAAAGAAATATGCACTTTGCTTTAATATAAATGCAATTAACAAATGCTAAATTAAAAAAAAAAAAGAGCATGAAATTGCTGGGTTTTTCTATGGGTGTTATCATCCAGATGAATGTTTTTTTCTAAAGGAGCTTATGTTCCATTAAAAAATAAAAATGTACACTTGATCCCAGGCTGTGCCAAGTGTCTCTTTTAGTGGCAGGGATGAGGCAGGCAGGAGAGATGCTGCTCAAAGTGGGTACCACGTGGGGTTGGTGGTGGGGGCACCCACCCCAGTCAGCAGTTCTTGTGTGGGTAGCATCCAGATAGGGTCATCCTGAGCTTTGGTCTCCATTGGGGGCTGGTGTGGTGCATGTGGCTTTGGGGTCCTTGGCATGGTTGCATCCCATCAACCCAAGTCTGGAGGGTCTGGCTGCCCAAAATCTGCTGGGGTTATTTTTGTTATTACTCCTGTTTCTCATAATTTCAACGTAAAAGAACAGCCATGCTATTTGGCCAGCCAGCCAGTTCCTATTTGGCCCTGTCCCAGTCCCTGAAGTACTGGGGGAGACCAAACTTTTGCTCTGTGCTGGAACATGAGTGGTCCATGCCACCAGTCAAGGAGGAAAATCTGAGAAGAGGGGAAAGCCAGTCCTCTAGGTTTTCCTCAACTATTTCTTGCCCCCTTCATCTCCCATGCCACTGGAAATAAAGGTTGTTTTTCCTTTTGCCCCCCTTGGCCTGCCTTCAGATGTTTACTGCTCCACATCCCACTTGCACATGGCCTCTGTCAGGGAGTGTGGAGGTACTAGTTGTCAGTTTCTCTGTGTCTGGATTGAAGCCATTTGAGATGGCAGTTTATGTTGGACTCAAGTGTTTATTATTTCTTATCAGTAAAACAGTCTCATTACTGTGAGTTTGGCAGCTTTTCATTAGAAGGCACAAAATGGCTAACAATCTCTTGTTACAAGGGCTTTTAAGACTAAACTATCCTATTAAGAAAAGACACCTAGATTATTTTCCCTTTTAACCCAACAACTGATCCCAAAGAGCCCGCAATGTGGACTTTTCTGCCCAATTACAAAATACCACCCAAATCCATGAAGAAGAAGGAAGAAGAAGCATGAAGAAGAAACCCAGGATGGCACCCTGCACCCTCCATCTTGCTTCCATCCACAACATACTAAAAATCCCAAAACCTAAATTTCTCACCAAGTGATACACCTACACTACTCTATAATCTATTTCACACTTTTGTGGATTCTAGTCTATCTTGAAGTCTAGGAAACTTTCTCCATGAATGAGGGTCAAAGTCAGTGCTCCCCTGGGGGTCAGGGCACCCCAGAGCAGACAGAGAAATATTCCCTGTGCCCTGGGTTTCCACATCTCCCCCTTATCTTTGAACCAAAAACAGTCCTTTGACAGCCTCATCCATCATCTGTCAGATACACTAAAGTAGACATGGCACAAATATTAAAAGGACTGCGACACTAATCAGTACGTACACACCTATCTTCAAAAATTCCCTCCATGCCGATGCAAGATTAAATCAACTGAACACACCATTTAGCCATGACTCATTCTCTTTCCTGAGTTTGGCCACTCCATCTTCTAATTGTTGTATGCTTTCATGACTAGATTTTGAATGATCAGACAAATTCATGCAACACATTCTTTCAAATTCCTCACATCTATGTCCTGGGCTATCTCGGGTGTGATAAATTCTCTGAGAGCTCATAAGACCTGGCTCGAGGAGAAACCTATCATGACACCAAAGTAGTAACAGGCCATGTGGACACACCAGAGGACTGCGTTTCAGAGATGTTTTGCAGATGTTTTCCACTTGTTCCATGAGGTGCGTACCATATCCTGGTGGTTAAAGCCCGGAAACCAAATTGTAGCTTAGATGACTGTTCTTTGAATTGAGATCTGGGTTCTTGTCCCTGCTTATTGTTCCATGAGATGTGACCAAATCATTTAACCTTTCTGTTTCTCAGGATTTCCACTTGTGAGATACAGAGGTTACAAATTGTTGCTCCTCCTGAGAGGTGAAAGCAGAATATGGGAATAATGTACTCCTGAATGAACCCTTCTCACAGCAGCTTTTCAATATACATAGAGTTACAAAAAACGGTCAGAGGGCTGGAGCACCTCTCCTATGAAGACAGGCTGAAAGAGTTGGGTTTCTTCAGCCTGGAGGAGTGTCTTAGGTGGGAAATAGGGGTATTCTATTCCTATTTATTAGAGGTGGGGCAGTTATCTTCTGTTAATTGGGCAGTTTTCTTTATCTCTTCCACAACCAATATTCCCTCTGGGGACATATCTTCTGTTAATGGGCCATTGAGTCTCACTTCATGACTGATAAAAATAACAACATCCCATTGTGAGAAGCTCTGCCCAGAAGGAGAGGCCAAGCATTCCTACCTGGATATAATCAGAGATTTGGAAGACCACAAGCAGCCTTTTCCCCCTGGATTCCCAGAGGAAGACCAGGCTGATCTACACCACCACTAGATCTTCAAAGGAAGATGACACCCTTCTACAGGATCACTGTTTCAACAGAATCACACCCATCACTCCAGAAGGACTGCAGCCACCATTTCAATTGGACTACTACCAACACCCTGACCAACAGGGTGTCAGGTCATATTCTGACTCTATCTTTTATTTTGTATTACTGCATTGTTTTTTGGGGGTTTTTTAAATTTTCTTCCCTAATAAAGAACTGTTATTCCCACTCCCATATCTTTGCCTGAGAGCCCCTTAATTACAAAATTATAACAATTTGGAGGGAGAGGATTTATATTTTCCATTTCAGGGGAGGCTTCTGCCTTCCTTAGCAGACACCTGTCTTTTCAAACCAAGACAAGGAGGTTCCAGGGAGACCTCATGGGGGGGGGGGGGGGGGGGGGGGGGGGGGTGGTGTTAAGGAGTGGCTGCATGGTATTTCATCTCTGTCTGGGCTTAAAACAATGAAGCCTTTCAATACTTAGAGCTTAGGAGAAAGATGGGGACAGAGTTTTTAGCAGGGCCTGTAGTGACAGGACAAGGGGTAATGGTTTTAAACTTAGAGAGGGGAGATTCAGACTAGATATAAGGAGATTTTTTATGATGAGTGTAGTGAAGCACTGTGAGACAGAGTAGAAATTCTCCAGAGTAGAAATCCATTTTGATTTAGGTGAAATGTACATCTTTGAGTTAAATCTGTAGTTTGAAAACATAGCTATTTAGTCTGACTACCTGTTCTTGTAAAAAGCCTAGGCTCAGTGAAACTGCTTCAGTGAAGGACAGAGATAAGGGAAGGGAGACAGAGAGAGACAGACTGCTGTGAGAGCAGGTCAACCTGACCTAGGAATTCTTTCTGATAAAGAAGAACTAGCAGCAACTGTCACGTGAAATTTGTAAAAATGAATATGTATGAATCTATTGTGAAATTGCATGCATATGGATTTGAGAGGGGGATAAAAAGGGACCTGGAGTTCCCAGAGGTATGCATGTCATTTTAGGGGAACAATTCCCACATGCGTCCAGCGCTGTAATAAACATATCGGCTTTGCAACTTTCACAAAAGTTGCACAGTTTTGTTTATCTCTGCAAAACAACTGGCACAGGTTGCCCAGAGAGGTGGTAGATGCTCTATCCCTAGAAATATTCAAGGTCAGGTTGGACAGTGCTCTGAGCAACCTGATCTAGTTGACAAGGTCCCTGCCCATGGCAGGGGGGTTGGACTAGATGGCCTTTAAAAGTCCTTTCCAACCCAAACCATTCTATGGTTCTATGATAATGCAAAGAGGAAAAAATGATCCAGGGAAGCCAAGAGGCTGTCTGTTGAAGTGTCCCCATGATGGGCACAGTGCTAGTGGTCTATTTTATCACTTGCAGGGTGTA